ATGGCCAGCAAGCCTCCCTTCTCCAGCTTCTGAGTCTGGGAAATGGGTCTAACTATCTGTCTGACACCCCCGCTGGGATGGCCAGCAAGCCTCCCGTCTCCCGCTTCTCAGCCTGGGAAATGGCAACCACACCTGCTGCCGGCTCTCGGTCAAACTCCTCCCTCCCAACCCACATCCAACCCATCAGCAAATCCTGCCGGCTCTGCCTTCTAGACTGACTCAGAATCTGCCCCCTCCTCACCACCCCCACTGCCAGCACCCTGATCCTAGGCACCACTGTCTCTCCCGGTCCCCAAGGCCCAGAACAGTGCCTGGCATACAGATGTGCTCAATCAATAGTTCTGAATGAATGCACGGGGCATTTTGTCTGGGTTAAAGTCCCGGTGTTACCACTTTAACAGACGTGCGTCTTTGGACAGGTGACTCAGGCAGGGATAATAATAGTATCACTCCGTACGGTCGGTCAGAGGAGTAAATGAGTCAATATATGTGAGGGCCCAGACCAGTGCCTGATACAGGGTGAGTCCTCAAGAAATGTTTCCATCATTGCTGTTATTATTGCTAATGCCATCCCGGCTGTGCCCTGAGCAACCTTGGAGAGCGCCATTTGCATGGAGGCCCTGGCAGCAGTGGGTGAGGGGCTACACCAGGGCTAGAGGCAGCTGGAGCAGAGGAACTCAAGGGACCACATCCTGATGTCTATGAGCGGCCTCGGGAACCCCTGCCACGACGGGGGAGTATCCTGGGAGGCGCTGGAGAGCTGGCAGTCACTGGCAGTCACGCAGGGAGCTGCAGGAATCTGGCCTTCCAGCTCATGTGACCTGGGCAGGCACAGCCTGGGGAGATGCAGGGCTCTGGGCCACTCAGCGTTCTCGGGTGGACTTGCAGTGGAAAGACCCCAGCGTCTGAGTCTGCAGTGCAGGGCAGGCAAGAGCACTGGACTGGGAGTCAAAAGGGCAGACCCTGCCACCAAATCCCTGTGTGACCCTGTGTGAGACCCTTCTGTGGGCCTCAGTTTCCCCATATGTATGCCAACGGCTCTGGACTTGATGTCATCGAGGGCCTGCCAAGCTCCGACAGTTGGCTGGGTCAAGGGTGGGGGTGGGGTGGAGTGGTCTGGCTAAGGGGGCTGTGCCTCCCTGCCCTCCGTACCTACCCGGTTAAAGACGTTCTCAAAGCTGTGTGGGTTGGTGACGTCGAAGCAGAGGAGCAGGACACTGGCATCAGGGTAGAACAGGGGCCGCAGGCGGTCATAGTCATCTTGCCCTGGGCAGAGTGGGGGTGGTCACTCCCTCCAGACCTCCTGCCCGCTGCCGGCACCTCCCCAATAGCAGGGAGGCCATCACATCAGACAGGGAGCATCTGGAGCCTCAGTCTGCACAAACTTGGCACTTAGGTGGCTACTCCACGTGAATGTGCCTGTGGGGTGTGCCAGACCATTTGCTGAGACACTGTTCTGGGAGGAGTGGCAGGGGGCAGGGCTGAGGCCAGGCCTGGAGCAGCCTGGAGGGGCTGAGGCCCGTCACCCAGAAGCCACTTTGCCCTGGGCTTAGGGGGCGACGAGTAGGGGGCAGGGGGAGCAGGGCAAAGACATCTTAGTGCGTACCAATAAGAGGGCTGCAGGGACTCCCTGAGTTTAGTGTTGAGCTAACCCTTGTGTGGGCAAGGTCAGGAGGCTGGAGGGCAGAGGCCAAGGTCAGGCAGATCATATAGAAGCTAAACTGGGGTGGAATGCTTGGGACTGTCAGGAACAGTCCACCCCTTGAGAGCAAGGAGCTCTGGACCCTCCCCCAATCTCCAGGACAAGTGGGATGCCCTGGGATGGGCTTCAGACTCTGGTCAGAAGCAAGGAAGGCTCAGGTTCTTGATGGTCCCAATCCTGGCCAACACCTGTCCCTTGGAGATTAGCTCCCCTGGTTCAGAAGGAAGAGGGTAGGACTCTGTCCCAGGCATCTGGGGCCCACAGAAGCCCCTCCACCCTGCACCTCCCCAGCCCTGCACACCCACCTGCCGTGTCCCAGATTTGGAGGTGCACAGGTCTGCCCTTCATTTGCAGATTGGCGGTGTAGCGCTCGAACACCGTGGGGGTGTAGCTCTGAGGGAGAAGGGGGCGGGGAGGCTGTGCGTCTGAGGGAGCGGGGCCCACAGCACCAACCCCCTCCCCCAAGTGTGTTGTTTCTGGGAAGGCTCCCAGTTGGCCTGCCCGGCGGGAGGCCAAGAGCCCGTGTGTACTTCGGCAAGGTCCTGAACCTTCCTGGCCTTGTTTTCCTCAGCTGCAAAATGGGAATATTAAAAGTCCCTACAGCAGAGTGTTGCTAAAATGAGTCAATGCGGTACTCCATGCGGAGCCCTTAGCACAGGGCCTGGCGCAACGTAACACTCTATACGTGTCAGCTGCTGTTACTTTTACCTTTTCCCCCTGGATGGGTATGGGGGACTCTGATTTTCTTCTTCTTTTTTTTTTTTTAGACTTGGGGTCTTACTGTGTTGCCCAGGCTGGAGTGCAGTGGCTATTCACAGGCATGATCATAGCTCACTGCAGCTTCGAAGTCCTGGGCTCAAGTGATCCTCCTGCCTCAGTCACCCGAGTAGCTAGGACCATAGGCACACGCCACTGGGGACTCCCATTTCTGAGCCTTCATTCATGCTGTTCCCTCCTCCTCCTGGGATGACATTAGCCTACATCTGTTTGTTCATTCCTGCGTTTGCTCGTTCATTCATTCAGCAAACATTAGCATCTTCTCTAGGACCAGTTCTGGACACTGAGGAACGAGCAATAAACAAGGCTCAGTCCCTGCCCTGGGGAGATCGCAGCTTTTTGGGATCCTCCTTTGCCCCTCAGTGTCTCCCAGTCCAAAGCAGACCCCTGTCTAACGCCGGGATGCCTTCCCTGGTCCCCCCGAGCACCCATGTTTTAGCCTCTTATTTGCCCTGTCTGGCCTCAGGAGGGGTCACTCGGGCAGAGGCCCCTGTCCCCCGGCCCTGCCCAGCCTGAGCTCACTCCCTCTCTGCAGAGGTTAGACGGATGGGAAATGGGACAGGTTTCGTACACAGATGAATACACATGAATGAAGAGGGAGCTTTTGCAAGACGGGTGGGAGCAACAGGTGAGGTTTTCAAAACTCCACTACAACGCGAGCCCTTTGCCCTGAGGGGCAAGCTGGACGGCCTCTCTTGGGTCCCTAGGCCCTGACTGCTTGCTCAGGGCTGGCTGGTGGGGCCACAGTCTGCGGGCCCCTGTCTTCCTCCCTTCCCAGGCTGGGTGGGCCCCCCACAGGCCCGTAACGCAGGAGGACTTCGTGCCTGCCCGCCTGCCCGCTGGCCCTCTGAGTCAGGCCCTGGCCAGCTAGGAGCGGCAGTGCCTTAGCGGTGGGTTAGCGCTGTCCTCCAGGACACCTGGGAAGCTGCAGAGGATGGGTGGGAAGAAAGTAGGTCCCGGAACGGGCAGCCAGGGAAGATGCAGAAGTCAAGATGGCCTTGAGGTAGGAGCTGCCCCTGCCCTGGACTCCAGTCACCCTGTCATTCCCTCCACCAAGAGGAACCAAAAGGAACAGACAAGGGTCCCACCCACCTCCCCATGCCCCCTTGCCTGCCCAGGGCCCCCTCACGCCTTTGCCTGGCAGGAGACAGTGTGACCTGGTGGCTAGGAGCACTAGCCTTGGGATTAGATCTGCCTGGCTTAGGGTCCAGCTCTGGCACTTCCCAGCTGTGTGACCCTGGGCCAGTCCTCTCACTGGTTAAAGGGAAGAGTGTCAGCTCACAATGGGGGAGGGCAGACAGACTGGCAGGTGAGGTCCCAGCATAAATGTCCACCACTTAGAAAGCTGGTTGCCAGGAGCAATGTCCATACCAGCGGCCATCTGTCCCTCCAGGTGGTGCCACCGTCCCAGGCCCTCCCCAGCTTCTGGCCCTTGCCCTGGAGTGGGGGCACAGACATCTGCATCTGAGCTTCCAGCTTGACCACCCACAGGACCCCCAGCTGCAGGACCCTTCCTGATCCTAGCTGCAGAGCGGCCTGCCACGTGTCAGTGCTCTGCAGACGCCTGTGGTGATGACACCATCGCCCGCCATTCTCTGAGGATCTTCTGCGCAGGCCCTTTGCTGGCACCATCTCTGATCCTCACAACCTCGGAAACTTGGTACAATCCCCATTTTCCTGATGATGCCCAGAGAGGGGAAGTGACTTGCCCAAGGTGATACACTGGGCAGCCAGTTGGCGATGGAGCCAGGTACTTCTGGCTGCAGGGACCAGGCTGTGTCCCCAGCCACCTGCTTCCCCTGAGGTCACCAACTCCAGTTCCTGGGGCCAGGAGTGAGCAGGAAAGGGGCTGGGTTGCCCCTCTGGCTTGGAACTGCCACAGCACCTCCCCCTCCTCTGAAATGTCATCCTAGAGACTCTGTCTCTACCTTTTGTTGTGTTCTTTGACCCCCAGGCAGGGTTACCCTCTGTCCATGGGCCGAATAAGTCCCTAATCTTATCTGTTAAGCTCTCCTCAGCCAACAAGTCAGGGCTGGGACTGTGCTGAGCCAGGACAGAGATGACTCAGCCTTGGGTCTGCCCTCCCAGGGCCCACAGACAGAAGAAAGTGGATCATTACAGGACAGGGACACAGCTCAGGGTAGCGCCAGGTAGGATACCCATGGGAGTCCGAGTGCACACAGGAAGGACTCGGCTGGTTCTATCTGGCAGGGCTGGGTGCTCCCTGCCGCCTCCTATCTGCATCCTGGTGTGGGGGCTGCTGGGCTTTGCCTCTGCGGGAATGGTCGTTGCCCCAAATGCCAACCAGAAATGGGCAGGGGCTGGTGTCTAGCCCCGGCGTCCCTCTCTGCCCTAGGAGCTCTCTCCACCTTGCCCCTGTGCCTTGAACCCAAGGTTGGGCCACAGCTGGATAAGGGTCGCTGAAGCCCTCCATATCCTCAGCCTGCTCTCTGCCCTTTGCCGTGGGCAGGAAGACAGGGAGACGGGACCCCAAGCCTCCTAGCTGCTAGCTCCCTGGGCTTCAAGGGCTGCCTGGAGGAAAAGTCTTGGCAGGGGGCAGGGGCAGGAGGCGGCCGAGTCCAGCAGGCAGAGCCCTAGGGGCTGTGGAGAGGGCGCTGGTAGGAGGCAGGGAGACCTGGGCTCTAGATCAGCACTGCCACCCCAAGCCATGTGCCCCCAGGCAAGACTCTGCCTCTCTGGCCTCAGTTTTCCCATCTGCAAAATAAAGCCTTTCCGGCTCTTGCACATGATGGTTCTTTAAGGGAAGAGTAGCCCAGCATGGTGGCGCATGACCACAGTCCCAGCTACTCCGGGGCTCCCGTGAGCCCAGGAATTCAAGGTTGCAGTGAGCTCTGATGAGGCCACTGCACTCCCCAGCCTGGGTGACAGAGTGAGACCCTGTCTCAAAAAACAAAGATGAGGTCTCTCTTGTTCCAGGAAAGCCAGGGCCTCCAGATGGGGGAAGAGCCTAGACAAGGCCAGTCCATCCCCTGGTGACAAGCATACCCTCCTCTCACCTGGCTGCCCCAGCACGTCTTTCAAAACATACATTTCAGCTGGGCGCGGTGGCTCACACCTGTAATCCTAGCTCTCTGGGAGGCTGAGGCAGGCGGATTGTTTGAGCTCAGGAGTTCGAGACCAGCCTGAACAAGAGCAAGACCCCGTCTCTACTAAAAAAAAAATAGAAAGAAATTATCTGGACAACTAAAAATATGTAGAAAAAATGAGCCGGGCATGGTGGCACATGCCTGTAGTCCCAGCTACTCGGGGGGCTGAGGCAGTAGGATTGCTTGAGCCCAGGAGTTTGAGGTTGCTGTGAGCTAGGCTGACGCCATGGCACTCACTCCAGCCAGGGCAACAAAGTAAGACTCTGTCTCAAAAAACCAAAAAACAAAAAACATACATTTCATCAACTGCAAGAAGCCCATTTCTACATCATGTCCTCTCTGAAATTGGGATGGGTGTCACCATCAAGGATGTCACCATCCAAGATGTCTCAGGTGGTGGTGAGGCACCCCCCCCCTAAGCCCCAGGCTGTCAGGTGCCCTCCCCAGGGTCTCCAGGGGCCTGGCCCCTCAGAGGGCTCCCCCCAGGGTGCTGTAATTGTTGAGTTCCCATTGGCAGCATCTGGGGACCCAGAAACATGTCCCTCCAACTTAGAGTGGCTCGATGCTGCCATAGTGGGAAGTGCACAGACAAGGCCTGGCACTGTCCCCAGGCCGGGCCTCTCCTGCCTCCCCTGACAGACTCCCCGGCGCCTGCAGGACCCCAGGGGCCTGCGGGATGCTGGGGTAGGGAAGGCAGAAGGGAAGACACTGGAAGCAAACCCAGGGACCCCCAGGGCAGCTGGGCTCAGGGCTGGCAGAGCATGTGGGTCCAGCCCCTGCCCCTGGCCTGTGCCTGTCGCGTCTGCCTGGACAGTCAGTGGTCATGTCAGAGAAGGACGAACAGTCAACATGCCCAGAGCGTCAGGAACGTGCCAGGTAGCACGTGGGAGCCGTATCAGCCCAGCCTGAACACCTCCGCCGCTACAGCCCCTCTACCCCGCCAGGCTGCTGAGAGCAAACCGAGAAGCTAAGCAAGTTACTAAAGGGCACAGGGTCCGTTAGAGGAGAGCAGAGGTGCCAACCCAGCGCCCCGATGCTAGGCCTGGCACGCTCTTACCCTCCAAGGCAGAGCCCGTGGGATGTGCACTGTGGCAGCAAGAGCTGGAGAAGAGAGATGTTTCCTAAGAAGGACATTGCCAACGTTCTGGGAGTCCTTCCTGCGTGTGGGCTCGGAGCTGAGCGCTTGACCTCTCTTACCTTCTCACAGTGACCCTGTGACGTGGGCACCATCACTATTCTTACTATGCAGTTACGGCAACAGGCACGGAGAGGTTAAGGGACGTGGCCAAGGGCGCGTGGCTGTAAGTGGCAAAGCCACGATTCCAACCCAGGCTGTCTGGCGCCACAGTTCTCAGTCCCTTTCAGCCAAGGTGTGCCACCAAGTTCTCTCTTAGGACCCGCTACATACCCAGGTTGCCTAATTCAGTCCCTGTGACACCGTGCCAGGTAGATGCCATTCCTCCCACTTTACAGATGACATCACTGAGGCCTTCACTCCCAGGGGCGGAGGGAGAAGAACTCTGCCCTTGACTCCACGCCCCGCCGGGACCCCCTGGGAGGCCGGGCTGGCGCACTTCGTAGGCAGACGCTTAACCCGCGGGATGCGCCGAGGCCCGGGGCGCCGGCACTCACCTCGGGGAAGGCCCCATCGGCGAAGACCATCAGCAGCGACGTCTTCCCGCAGCCGCCGTCGCCCACCAGGACCACCTTGGCGGACCGCGCGCCCAGCGGCGCCTCCTCGGCCGCGGCCTGGGCCTCCTTCATCCCGCGGGTCAGGCGCGGGCCGGCGGCGGGGCAGGAATGTGGAAGGGGCGGGGCGGCGGGAGGAAGTGCGAGCGGCGGCCGGGCGGGCGGGCGCCCCGCCGAGCCCAGGTGAGAGGCCGGGCCCGGCCTGGGCGGCGAGGGTGGCGGCCGGCTGGGCCCTTCCCCTCCAGCCCCGTCCTGCGCTGAGGCCGCGTGACCTCTGGACGGTGACAGCGGCGGTGGCCCACTGCCCGTGGGAGGAAGCGGGGGCGGGGTCACCATGTCGGCCTTCCCCCCTCGGTGGGGACAGAGGCCGGTCCCCGCTGCCTTGCTGCATGAATGAATAAACGAACGTGTATCCCCAGGGCTCTGGAGACAGCACACAGGTGTTTCAGGCCGCGTGGGAAGGGGGTGACCTGGACGTGCCCTTATGGGTCAGTCGTTGGCACAGCCCCCCTCAACCAGCACCAGGGAGCTTTGCTGCAGGTGAGCGACCACCTGTCTCACCCTGGCTGGGGCATGATCGAGTGAAAGTGGTGGAACCTTCCGTCTATAAAGTGCTGAGAACAGGGTCTGGCGTGTGGTTGGTGCCACGTGTGAGCGGTTCGCGTTATCAAGCCATCATATATGGCCACCTGGTATCAAGGGCCTCGTGACCCTGCACTTATCAAGACGGAGTCCCTGCCTCGAGAAGCCCACGGCCCAGGATGGGAGACAGACAGGACGTCAGTGTGACAGGAGCTACAGTGGGAGTAGGGGGGGACAAAAGGGGCTCCTCGCCAGGTTGGGGAGTTGGGAAACCCTTCCAAACGAGGGGCCAGAGTCTTGAGGAAGAAGTTGAGATGTGTCAGACGGGGGAGGGAAAAGATTTTCCAGAAGAGGGAACAGCACGTGCAAAGGTATGGAGGCAAGAGCCAGGGAATGCTGCCCCCACGCCCGCAGGAGGGTGGGGGTGGGTTGGGGAGCTGGTGTAGGACAGTGGAGCGTTTCAGATGCCGGAGTAAATCCAACACTGAACTGGAAGCTCATTGTCACCTGACCTCCCCACCCCTCCTAGTGGCCAGGGTTTAAATCTTTTAAAAATGGGCATAGGGGTCTCCCCAGATCTCAGATGGAGTGTTTGCATTGAAGCTTAAAGGAACCGGGGGCAGAAGTCTTTGGGTCCCTTCTGCCCCCCCGCGCCACGCTGGTCATGACATTATCCTCCATGGAGTTCAAAGCCAGGCAGGTGAAAAAGCACCTTCGACCCCCTTTGAATCTCACTGTGGCCCCAAAAGTTAGACAAGGCAGGAGTCACTGCCCACTGCAGGGAGAGGCCGAGGCCGGCGGCCCTTGCTGCCAGCCCAGGCTCGACCCGAGGGCTGTGGTCGCAGGCTGAATGGAGCCTCACCGGGACCTGGATGGAGGGAGCCTCCCCAGCACACCTCCACCTTTCAGGTGTCCCTTCCTCCCTGAAACTGCCGTGGGGCTGGGTGTGAAGCTACCGAGCAGGGCTCCCTGCCCCAAGGAGTGGTGGGGAGGGGCCCTGTCCCCCGCTGATCAGCTGTCAGCCTCTTCATCCCCACTGCTGCTGTCATCAGGCCTTGGGTGGCAAGGCTGGGAGGCAGGTGGGGCTGGACTGGGGGTGGAGGGAGCTGAGAGTCATGCAGAGGTGTTTGGCCTTGGTTGCTATAGGGATAATCGCTCTAATGACACACTTGATGTCTGTCATGCTTTACAGTTTCACTGAGCATTTCCTAATAATAACAGCCCCATTAATGGGTTGCAAACCATGTGTAGGCACTGTCCCTTAGGAGGTAGGAACTATTAGTTCCATTTTAGAGATGAGGAACCTGAGGCGGAGAGGTTAAGTTCTTGTTTAAGATCCCCAGCTAGTAAGAGATTGAACTGGGATTTAGACCCAGGTGTGACCCCAAAGCCAGGCTTTCTCCCAACATCACACCTCATGTTCCTCACTCCACGCAGCTCTCGGACTGTGTGGTGGGCAGAGCGGATGATCTGCTTCCCCCATTTTACAGATTCGGGAACTGAGCCTCAGAGCGAGGCAGTGGTTAGTTGTGGGCAAGCAGGACGCAGAGCCAGGACTGGATCTCCGATGTCAAGCCCAGCCTCGCCCCCACCCTGTGCTCGGGCTCCTGCAAGAGGGAGATTGCACCGGGCCATGGACATCTGCCTTGTCGGCAGGGAATTTCCCAGAATCTCAGACATCGCTGGGCCCCGGACCACACTGTTCCTGGAGTTTATTTTTGGAGTGGTGGCCCAGGCCACAGTCTGCCTGGCCAGGGTGCTGTTTACTGTTTTACCGTTTACCGGGGCTGCTCTTGACTTCTGGCCTGCGGGTGACTCAGTCCCTTCGACGTCCCACCAATCCCAAGCCCAGAGTCCTTTGGGAACCCCGCACAGTGGGCTACTGCCCTGCAGACCCCAGAACAGCAGAGGTGGCCAGGCAGCCTTTGGTCTGACGTATCGTCCCTGCTGGATACGGGTGGCCAGACAGGATCTTTCAGTGTCCAGCTAAGCCATGAACACCTCAGGGGCAGCCACCAAGGCTGACCCATCGCTGCACCCCAGAGAGGAGTGCCTCTCCCAGACTGGCACCCAGCTGTGGCTCAGGATGTTACGTCCCACAGGACTGCCTGGCTAGATAAACAAGGGAAGGGAAGGACAGGACAGAGGGAGGGAGGGAGGAAAGAAGGAAGGCACACGGGCTGGCCCACGAGAACAGACGAACTGAAGAAGTGAATAGAGGGACAAATGCTTGCGTGGATGCGTGAATACAGCACAGGACCTGAATGGGGGGGGTCCGCCCCATTTTCTGGCTCCCCACCCCCATCCTGAGGCGAGTCCTGCACGTCGGGTCCGTTCTCTGCTGCCTCCGTGTGGCCGCTATGCTCCCTGCACTGTCCTGACCCGGCGCCTGCTGGGCTGGGGTTCCTGGCTGGGGGTGGGGTGTTTGTGCCTGGCGGAATGAGGGGAGAGTGCCTGCCGGGCAGAGCCTCAGAGTCCCTGGCAGGACGCACGGCCCCGGTGTGTAGTTCCCAAAGCCCTTTCCTCTGCGTGCCTCCCTGGGACCTCCCCGTCTCTGTCATCCTGAACACGAGATCCCAAGGGCCCTTGTCCTCAGCCTGAACTCCTCCACGCAAAGCCTTGACCTCACGTTTACCGCGTACCTGCTTGTGCCAGACACTTGGCATGTGTCATTTTATTCCACCCTACGAAGTACGCACAGTTCTTATCCTCCTCTGACAAACGAGGAAACTGAGGCCCAAAGAGGACAGAAAATTTGTCCAAGGTCCCACAGCAAGTAAGTGGAGGAGCTGGGATTCAAACCCAGGAAGTTGGGCTCCAGAGTCCACACACACAGAGTCCCCCAAAGCGAGAGGTGCCATCTCATCTAACACCCTCATTCTTCAGATGGGGAAACTGAGGCCCTGAGAGGAGAAGGAACTTGTCACATAGTAAGTAATCAGCAGACTCGGGCCTATGCCAGGCAGAACCCAGAGGGCCTTTTCTCCCAGTTTTCTTCCTTCTGGTCTCCCCAGACCGATCAAGCCCTGCTGTCATCTAACCGGAGCCCAGGGCTGTGGGGACCCAGGCCTTCTGCCCTGTCTCCTCTCTCAGCCTCACTACGGCTGATCTTTCGGGTGGGACAGGAGGGTCAGTAATGGGGTGGCAGTGGGTGGAGAGGGGGAGCACTGTGGCCTGACCGTAGCACTTTCTTAGGCTTTTCGGTTGTCCCGTTGGATGTCCGCAGGCGTAGACGGCCACGGGCAGGAGAGAGGAAGTGCGGTCGGGAGCTGCTGTCGACTGTGGCTGCTGAAGTGGCACGTCCTGCTTCTCCCCCACGCGGGCCTGGCCCAGGCAAGGCCGCGGTCAGCTCAGAGACCTGCGCGCCCTTCCTCCTGGGTGCGCTCCCGAACAGAAGGCGCCGGGGCCCAGGCTGGAGGAGGGGAGACAAATGGGCAGGGAGGGACGGGGGCCCGGAGAGGGGTCAGAGAGAGGATGGAAAGAGGTCGGGAGGGTTACAAGAGAGAAGACGGAGGGAAGACAGCTTCTACTAGCCCTGGTTGTCCCGACTCCTCTCCAGGAAAGCACCTGGGTTTGCATCCTGCTGAGTGAACCTGAAACCCAAAGGCAGCTCAGAGGCCTCCCGCCTGCCCTGCCTGCCCGGCTTGGTCAGGAGCAGCGCTTGCCGACCTGCCTTGTGTCACCTCCAAAGCTCCTTAGAGTGACCCCCTCCCTGCCTCGGACCTGCTCCGGCTCAGGACCCCTGCATGGCTTCCCATTGCCGCCACAGGGACCTACTGTGTCAGCATGGCCGTGGGAGGCCTCCATAGCCCAGCCCCACCTGGCCTCTCAGGCCTTAGCCTGGCTGTGTCTCCCCAGACGCATGCTCAGGCACTTTTTTTTTTTGGAGACAGGGTCTCGCTCTGTTACCCAGGCTGGAGCACAGTGGCACAATCATAGCTCACTGTAGCCTTGAACTCCTGGGCTCAAGTGACCCTCCTGCCTCAGCTTCCAGAGTAGATAGGACTACAGGCACACACCATCATGCTCGGCTAATTTTTAATTTTTTTTGTAGAGATGGGGCCTCACTATGTTGTCCAGGCTGGTCTTAAACTCCTGGCCTCAATGGATCCTCCTGCCTCGGCTTCCCAAGATGCTGGGATTACAGGTGTGAGCCACTGCGCCCGGCCTGCTCAGACAGTTTGAGGCCCCTCTCCCCCTCCTTGTGTACAGTCAGTCCTTCTGCCCTGCAAAGCAAGCTCTCATGCTTCCACCTCCTCCAGGAAGCCTTCCCTGGTCTCTGCCCTTTTCACGGGCTCCTGCAACAGCCTGTCTCATTGGTCACCTCTGTCTGCCCAGCTGGAGGGACACAGCAGCTCTTCAGAGTCAGCTCCTGTGGTGGGCAGGCCTCCGGGGCTGCTGGGAACTCTCTCCCAGCTCATCCTCGTCCACGCTTCGTGTCCTGTGCTCGTGACCTTCCAGAGGAGGGGTGGGGGAAGCCAGCAGCCTGGAGCCAGACGGGTGTGCCTAGTGACCAAGG